GCTTAACCAGTTTACTCATAAGATATCAGCGATAATTATGAGGTAAAACAATATATATAATAGAACACACCAGCCTGTATGCCACAGTAACTAGGCTCCTAACTATGACAATGCAGGATAGATAGTACACATGGTCACAAACTCGCAATACAAAATCAGGTTGGCACTTGGCAGGTGACGATGTAATGTTTGCATCAGCCAAATGAACAATATCTCACATCATTCTCAATACTACTTATCACTAGAATTGGCTATCAATTAGCTGAATTAACAAGAATGTTCCAAGACCCTAATCTGTCATAATCATCAGCAAAGCCCCTAAATGTGCATATCAATAGTTAATGAATAGTACAGTTAAAAACATACAAAAAATAGATGATCTCAATATATGAACAAGTAATGGAATTGCATCTAAGGTTCACATGGTTTTGGTTGATTGGCAAGCAATTGAGGAAGGGCAACTTATCATCAACAGCTAATGAATAGTACAGTTCAAACCATAGATGATTTCGATATATGAACCAGTAATGGAATTGCATCTAAACGTTCACATGGTTTTCGTTGATTGGCAAGCAATTGGGGAAGGGCGACTTATCGTGCTCTGAATCCAACACATTTCCACAACCAAATCTACTTCCCCCCACCTAAATCCATCATTCCCGGAGCACACGCAAGCGCTACTCCAAACCCTCCTAAACCCATCGAATTCTTCAACCCTATCACAGATCCAAAACTCCCCAACGCCCCCCTCAAATCCCCCACCTCCATCCAAACCGGCTACGCCCCTCACCGCCGCCGCAGACAGATCGAAACGAAAAAACAAGAGACGAATCGCTCGCGAGCTCACCTTCTCGGGGTCTCCGCCCTTGTCGGGGTGGTTCTTGATGGCGGCCTTGCGGTACGCCTTCTTGAGGTCATCCTGGGACGCATCCTTGGGCACCCCAAGCACCTCGTAGTACCGCGTGTTGTCGCTCTTCTTCGGCGCGCGCCCGAACATCTCGTCGCCCTCCTGGTGGGAAAAAAAAAGGTCGAAACCCTAGCTGCTCGATCCGGCGGGGAGCGTGGTCTCGGGTTGGAAGCGGTTTGTGAGGAGGAGAGAGGAGGGGTGTAGTTATAGCGGAGGAAGAAACGGGTGGCGGAGGAGTGAATGCTCTGGAAGCTGCGTGAAGCGGATGCGGCGGGCGTGGGGCCGTCGGATCTGGATCGGACGGTGGGGGTTGCAGCTTCCAGATCCTTCCGGGGTCTTCCTGCGAGAGGGTGGGGGAGAGGCAATGCGGGTTCCGGGGAAGGGAAGCGCGTGTGTCCGCGCGTGTTGACTTGACTCCGGTTTCGGGTTGCGTTTGTCGGGTCCGGTGCGACGGGAGCAACCCGGTAAGGAGATTCCCTCTCTTCAGAGAGATTCCTTTTTTCTTGCCTTGGCGATGCTTGCTTACCTTGCGCTGTCGAGAAAAGGCAAGGAAAGTATACTACTAATATGGTTGGTTTGTTTTTTTATTTTTATCAAGTTTCCCTGGATTTAAATTGTTTTCGAATACTCCTATAGGATTTTTTTTCCTCACTTTTTTGTGATTATTATTTGTGCATTATGTGAAAAACGTTTATATTCATTTTTTCATGTTTTTTTTAGAAACATGGAATAAACACGGACACTCACAACGCGCGCACAATTTCCCCTATACACGCACACTCTATCTCTAAGAACACCTATAAAATATTGAGATTGACGAAGTCACTATATGCGCCTCACCGTCAACGGTAACATTGCTTAGCACTGAAATAATAAATAATAGATAGCCGTAAATACGATCACCCATATCAAATCTAGGACTTGAACCAAACTAATAGAGCTACACTCACTTCGTATCTTTTTCATGGTTATTATATGTGCATCATGCAAAAATGGTGGCTGTGTTTTTTCTGTTTTTAAATTCTTTACAAGAAACTTTATGCTTCATAAGCGACGAGATAATTTTCTCCATTGAAGAGAGATTTGTGACGCTTTTTTTCATTTGCACATAGAAGACGGAGATAGCGACAAATGCCTCACCCCACTAAACACATGTTCATAAGTGTGTAATACTCATGGACACGAGAATTTAAACCATGATGGTTAGATTATAATCATCCTCCCTCGACCCCACTTGCATACCACCAATTTTTTTTTCCTGTTTGAGTCACTGGCCTTCTATTCGACCTCACTGAATAAATGGAACCTTTTCTAATCACACAATTAAATGCAACTTTTCATTTTAAATCCAATATTTTCACTTTTGGCTTGGTAAATTCGCATTTGTTTCGCTTTGTACCACCATAACTCTGTTCTCGAGTCGCATATAGTCTCTCATATGATAAAGGGTTGCTTGCATGGAAATTACCGACATGTAGCCGCCAATACGCTTAAAGGCATTGATGCGCTCGAGAAGAAAGTTCAAGATAGTTCGGAGTGTAAGAAAGGAAAAATTACATATCTCAAGTGTAAAGATCAAATATAGGGTGATCCAAAGCGAATTTTTTGCGGGTAAAAGGTGACTCACACTGTAAAAATTACCCAATCTTATTTCATATAAGTGAAAGAGCAGATTGTTATTCGAGCTACTTTCCTCATACTTTAGGTTCTTATTGGTTGCCCATATTTACTAATAAGCCAAAATGGCTCATTAGAAAATAAAAATTAGTTTTTAGGTAAAACTTTTATATATGTGCTCTTATTGACTTAAAAGTTAAATAACACTATAAAAGAAACTAAGTTGAAAATATCTTAAAATCAATTTTAAAATTAAGTTTGGAAATTTAAATTTTAGTTTTGGCTTTGACTTATTAAGGCAACCAATGAGGCTCTTAACTTAGTACAGTACATAGTTAAACCAGACGGAGTACGATCAGGATGGTCATTCTAGCAAAATAAATATACTATGGTCCACCACGTGTAAAAGAGGAAGTTCTACGGTTATACCTCAAGGGACAATGCACATTGGATTAACAAAATGGAAAAAATATGGAGTTTATACTGTTTAAGTTACCACACTTTACAGTGTTATTTGTTACTCTGGGTGTGTTTAGTTCACGCTAAAATTAAAAGTTTGATTGAAATTGGAAAGATGTGATGGAAAAGTTAAAAGTTTATATGTGTAGGAAAGTTTTGATGTGATGGAAAAGTTAGAAGTTTGAAGAAAAAGTTAGGAACTAAACCAGGCCTCTAGATCAATTGTCGTAGAAAAGCCTAAGCATTGGACAAGAAAAGTGACACATGACATTGAGCTCTAGTTTTTTTTTTCTGCAAAAGGCGCTGTGGTTTATACACTTTTCATGTCACTTAAAACGGGTGTGTTTGGTTGCAAGCCACACTTTGCCACAGTTTGCCACGCCTAAGGTTAGGCAAATTTGACAGGTGTTTGGTTGTAGTTACAGTTGTGGCAAGATTCCCCTCCAACAAATTGGGTCCCACATGTCAATGGCTCAAAAAAGTGTGGCAAGATTCCCTTAGGCTTAGTAAGTTGTGGCTAACAATTTGATCACCTCACCTTAGGCAAGGTGTGGCAACTTTTGTTGGCAAGTAATGGTAAAGTGTGGCTGAGAACCAAACAGCCCCAACATCTCACGGTTAAAAGACATCCCTCTGTTGATAGCCTTTTCTTAAAGCTTGTTAGTCCCGTACGATATCCGAGCGCAATCAGCTCGTTTTGCCTTAAAAGTGTCTAGTTGGCCCGTTTGTCATGTCATGGATTTGAATTTGACACCCTCCAAAATCCAAATTCTAAAGTACTCCCGTACATTTTATCTTAGAATATCTCAGAAAAAACTGAAAGGAAAAACTTAGGAGTATGTTTTTCAGTGAGGAAGAAACAAAGGAAAAGATTCGGTGGATAAACTAATAGCTTGTCATGGTATAGGACAGGTAACATGACACTCAATCAAGATCCTTGTTCTGTAGAAACTAGAGAATCTCTGTTCATTTCTGAACACCGGCTATTAATCTGAGTTCTAATGCCAACATTTCCAATTTAATCACGTGATTACTTATGCAAACCACCCGAAAACAGAGTTCAGCACGGCATTATGAACATCCCATCCATAACCATCATGCGCCCTGTCACTGGTGTCATGTCAGTTTTCGGTGGTGACTCGCATGTAGATATCCCATTTTATTGCCAACTGAACCCATCTACTTCTAATAAATTCGCATTTTGCCAAACAACCTGAAATCTTCTCATTTTAAGTGACTTTAATTCGAGGCAGATAAACGGATTTAATTAGAGATATTGAGCTTAAGATCACAATCTCTGAACTTTCTGAACTCTGAAGTGGTCCTGCGGCCTCTGCCTGTGTAGGGAAGCAGTGGTAGCAGTTGATGATTCAGCTCTCGGCTTCCTATGAGGTAGCAAAAGACATTATTGAAAAGAAGTGATACTAAATGCCATGACATGTTTAATTGATGGAGCGGTAATGGTAATAGTTCTTCACTCAGAGTTGAACAGTTATAAACCGGTGGCACTCGTAAAAACCTACTAGTAGTAAATGTAGAAAACAATAAATGTGAATAATTGTAGCAGCAGCACGAACGTAGAACTACATGTTTCAGATCTTTAACCTGACAAAGCAAATCCATCTTGCACAGTGCACACTTCGGTAGTAAAATAGTAAAAATTCGTAGTTTGCACTAGTCTGAATGACTCAATTAGTCCGAATGACTGAAATTCCACGGGGAAATCTCCGAATTTGCAGCTTTCAGCTCGAACAGTGCGAGCACATCGCTAATTGCTGAAATTCCATTGTTGCGAGTACTATACTACCAAAGAATTTCTTTCTCTTTCAGATCATAAAGATCACTTTGTCCGAAAGCCAGGCAAAGATGCAGTGAAAAACTAGAGGGTAAACAAAAGAGAACAACAGCAATGGCTTGGCTTTCCCGACAACGGGGGGCGCGGAAAGTGAAACGCAAGAAAAGCGCGGTGCTTTCTTGCTTATTTTTATACTAGTACTACTACTAATCAGCTAATCAATCTCATCCTCCTCTCTGCAGCAGCAGCAGCAGAGCGTGCCACACTGCCACGCACACAAGCACAAGCCCACCGATGGCAGCAATAATGCGCACGCAGTGGTGGCAGCTGCAGCTGCGGCAGTAATGGCCGGGTTCCCGGGTGTTGGTGGTGGTGGCCACTACTAGTAGAGTAGAGTAGTAGCGAGGTGGCGTGATGATCCGGGACCGGGAGGAGTAGAGTAGACCACCCTTGATCTGCAAGGCGCGCCGCTCATTGGGTGGCCAGCGTCGACCACCGTTTTCTTGGCCCCGTCTCGCCGCGATCTGGTGGTGTGCGGGCACGGCTCTTCTTGCCAAGAAGAACACGCACCTAGAAGTTCTTGGTGCGTGTTCTTTGGGTGATTTTGTTTTGCTTCTTTTTTGTGGAGAGATTTTTGAGGTTTGGATTGGTTGGTTGCTGATGAGAAAGATTGCGGCTTTAGGTTTTTGTCTCGGTTGAGGGGCGCGGCGCCATGGGCATCTCGGCGAGGTGGCTCAAGTCGTTGGTTGGGATGAGGAAGGTGGAGAAGCAGCAGCAGCAGAGCAAGGAGGATGGAGATGGTGGGCGAGTAGCACAGGTTCTCTCATCCATTGTTCTGCTCCTTGTCCTTCTATTTTTCTTGGCATTTTTGGTTGATTTTGATGGGGGTAGCCGGGAATTCGACTAGTTAGTTCGTGTTAAAATTCGACAACAATTTGCTGAAAAGAAATGGGGAAGTGAATCTTGATCATGTCATGGGGAATTCTTTGTTGTAGTGATCAACCTGGGGTATTCGTTCTCCGCTAAATTAAGACTACAGTTGGTACTTCTTGCATTGCTTGTTTGCCTTGTGTAAATTTATGAAGTTACTGCAGATCTGGATGATAATATCTGCATCATTTTTTTTTGGCTTCTATGCCACTGACAAAAATGTTGAAAGATGGAAACCACTATGTCTTTTTTTTTTTTAAAGAAATGGAAACCATCGTGTTAACAATTTAGCATTGCATTGTTCGTATATAATAACTTTTTTTTATTTGGCTGGGTTTGTAATAACTTGTGAACTGTGAAATTGCAGAAAAGGGACGGTGCTAACCATTTTCACTGCCAAAATCAGCACGGTCAAGACCATGATAACCTTGGAGCACCAGAAGAGTTTCCTGATGAAAATGGTCCATCAGAAGGTGATAGCAATGCACTTTCGTGCTCGGAACCCGCTTTTAGTTCACCTAACGTGCCTGTGCCTCAGACTGAAGAAGAACTCAAGGAGATCTGGGCTGCTACAGTTATTCAGACTGTGTTTAGAGCCTTCCTGGTATTGATGCTCTCTCTCTTTCTCTCTCTGCCAATTTAGTAACTAGTCCAAGTCCAATGCAAAGTATATGCAAACATAGAATTGCTGAAATGGAATTATGGATTTTCCCATGATTCCCAAATGTTTGGTTCTTCAGGCTTTACTACAAGTTTAACTTGAATTCTCTTCAGGCTAGGAGAGCCCGTCGGGCTTTAAAAGGACTAGTTAGGCTTCAAGCCCTTGTAAGGGGTCATATAGTGAGAAAGCAAGCTGCTATAACACTCAGGTGTATGCAAGCTTTGGTGAGGGTTCAAGCCCGTGTTAGAGCAAGGCGAGTGCGCATTGCTTTGGAAAGCCAGACGGATCAGCAAGCTATTCTACAAGAGAAAATAAATGAGACACATGTGCGGGAAATCGAGGTGAGTCGCACTTTCAGTAGTTTTCCAGGTAGGCTTGCATGCATGCTCTTCTCAATTTTCACAAGGAAATAACTGGCATGAAAGTGCAGTGATTTGGCTTGAGTTGTTTACTTATGCTATTTACCTTAAAAATGCAGGATGGTTGGTGTGATAGCATAGGATCTGTGGAAGATATCCAAGCAAAACTATTAAAGAGGCAGGAGGCAGCAGCCAAACGCGAACGAGCCATGGCCTATGCTCTAACTCACCAGGTAACTTTATCAAACATTTTACACCAGGACAATACTCAGCTATGATTATCCAATTAATCATATGAACCATGGATTATAGCGTATACTGTAGTGCACCAATCAAATTGGTCTGCATCCAAGTATAGCTTCTTGATATCATGAAAGTAATCGACTCACTGTCATCTCCAGCATGTAACAACAAGCATGCTTGCTAAGTTGCTATTGCTGGATTCCAAACGTTGCTTTCATGGATAACAGATGATGTTGTCTCTCCCTCCAAGTTAGCCTAATAATTAGGCTGCTTGTTGTTTCCGACTTTCTGTACTGTTCTGCTTCTGTTGGTTAGCGTTTAATTGTAATTTCAGTATGTAGCTAAGATGAGACCTATTTGCATGCTCCTTCTGGAGAAAAAGAATCCAATCATGATAAATGAAATTATTTAGACAGTTCACCGTATGTTGGAGAAGTAAGAAAAGGGAGCCTTTTTCCAGTATGTGGTTGAGGTCAAATAATTTTTTCATGCAGTAACCCCTTCCAGAAATAAGATGAATTCATATCTCTAAAAGTTTTCATTGGTTCAGGTAGTAGATTAAGAATTTTTCTAGTCCTTCCCATCATTGATGTCAGATACACTGTCCCAATGACTCTGTAAGAACTGATCTCTCATCAGTTGTGGCCACATCTCAAGTCACTTTGTGTTGGTCTTTGGTGTGCTTCCATACTTTTTGAGGGCTTAATTCCATTTCTGATAATAAAATAAGACTTAAAGGGAGGTCATTAAAAAACTTGACACCTGAACCTATTTTCCTCCTTTCGCAGTGGCAAGCAAGGCAACATGCAGCCATTACAGCATTTCAACCTGACAAGAACAGCTGGGGCTGGAATTGGCTAGAGAGATGGATGGCTGTTCGTCCATGGGAGAGCCGATTCCTGGGCTCTTATGCAGCAGATGGAATTCCTGTTAGTAGTGGAGCAATGCAAGACGAGGAAAATGCTGTCTATACTCCACATAAGAAACATGTTAGAAGACAAACTTCAACACTTCATTCAAACATACTGAACCAGAAGACCTGCCTACCAAACTCAGAGGGCGGTGGTTCCTCATCGAACCGGTCTGGTGGTTCGGCATCGGCTAAGTCAAAACTGAAACTGTCATCCAGAGAAGGATGTGATGAAATTTCGTCTCGTCCTTCGGGACTTGGAACTAGGTCGAGTAGTAATCCTAAGGAGAGGACTGGGCATTTAGATCCTCAAGGAAATAAGAGATTCTCCTTACCTGCCAGCTGTGAGTAAAAATCTCGCATCATCTGCATGTGTTCATGTTAAGCCTTTTCTCCTCCTTGTGACATAACTGACCTTATCTAGTATACAATGTTTCTTAAGGCTCAAACTCATACACTTGCAATTTTCTAACCAAATTTCCCTAACTCTCAGGTGTCGAAGCAGGCAAGCGCATGACGAATAAATCTGCGGTTAACCGGTCCCTAAAGGTCACTAAACATCATCTTGCCAGTTCAATTGAGTTGCCTAGAAGAGTTGAGCTGCAGACTTGACAGCCAATCCAATTATCCAAAGAGCATCCATAGTCATTGGCAACATTTTCACCTGAGATATCGTTCATGGATATATTGGCAGCCTTGGACTGTGATGATCTATCCAATATTTCAAGAAATTTGCTTTGCATTCATCGCAGCTTTTCTTGGCCATATAGATATGCAGGCTCAACTGACCATCTCATGAGAGATGAGACCAGTTGGTAGAAGTACAAATATGTGTCTGAGAGGAGGGAACCGTACATATAGAGTTTTACTATTTGTTTAGTGTTGTAGTACTTGTAAGGTGTAACTAAGACTATGTAATAGTAACAACTTTGTGTTTTTGATTGGTGTACCTATGAATCGTGTTGGTCCATGCCATGCTACTGGTACAGTTTTTATTTGAGAAACGATTTTGCTATATCTCACTCGAAAGATTTTTTCTTATCTCTCACTCGATTTTCTCACTCAAATTTACAGTGCATTTTCTTGTAAGTTACAGTGTAATTTATGAAACTTACACGGTAACTTTTGTAAGTTACACTGTAATTTTTGAATCTTCACATGTAAATTTTAAATTTTGTATTGGATTTGGTCTTTTTCTTGAGGATATGGTAATTTAATGTTCATTATGGTGTTTCTTAATTGCTTTTTGCTTTTTATTATATCTATCGGATTTTAATACAAAGATTAAAAATCTGTGTGATACGATTATAAAAATCTTTCGAAAGATGTATAGGTACTCCCTTTGAGAAATTCTATTGTTTTGCCATTGAAAAGTTATCCGTTCTAAGAGCAACTCATAGAATGGCCAAATGGCTGGCCAAGTTAAAATTTAGCAAGTATGGAGAAAAAATACCCTCCAACAACCTCCAAATTGCACCTCTCACTAACTTGGAGAGTCAAGAGTCACTCTGCCTGGCTATTCGTGGGCCCCACCACTCTCCCTCCCACCCCATCTCTCTCTCCCCGTCGCACCCGCAAGAAGGCAGCGACGGGAACCGCACGACGACGACGGCACGGAGGAGCGAGGCGCCGGAGCCAACCGCACCGGCCGCCGCCGGCCGCGCCCGCCGCCGTCGTCCGCGACGGCTAGGAACCGCACGACGGCGACGGCATGGAGGAGCGAGGCGCCGGAGCCAACCGCGCCGGCCGCCGCCGTCGCCTGCGTCGTCCCCAGCCGCGCCCGCCGCCGCCGTCTGCGCCTACCGCCGCCCGCGCTGTCCCCAGCCGCGCCCACTGCCGCCGTCCCCGCCGCCGCTGTCCGCCGCCGCCGCCGTCTGCGCCTACCGCCGCGCGCCCGCGCTGTCCCCAGCCGCGCCCGCCGCCGCCATCCCTAGCCGCGACTGCCGCCGCTGTCTGCGCCGACCGCCGCCACTGTCCCCAGCCGTCTCGGGAGTGTATAGAGGGAGAGAGAGAGGAAGAGGAAGAGGGGGAGAAAGATGAGGAAGAATGGGTATAGAGGCTGATGCATGGGTACTGCTGTCATAGACTCAAAATAGAGAGGATGGATGAAGAAGCTGTTGGAGTAAATAACAAATTTGACTTGATAAATGAGATGGAGAGTTGGCCAAATAGATATTTGGAGAGTCGAATTTAGAGAGAGTGTTGGAGATGCTCTAACAAATTACAACATCAATTACAAAAGGGTTTTCTCTATCTAATAATTGAAATATTCTAGTAGCAAAAATATACTACCACCGCTTCATCTAGTATAATTTTTTTTAGGAAGAACAACTTCAATTTATATTATCCAGAATCTTGAAAGTGTTTGATTCAGCTCTAACTCTATGGAACAAGAATCTTGAAGTAAGAGTCTGTTTGGCATGGCTCCAGCTGTACCTCTTCTGGAGCTAGAATCCAGTCAAATAGTTTCAACTCTACCTAAAATAGGAGTGGAGTTGGTTGGAGCGCTATCACAAAATGAACTAGAGATGTGAAGCTAGGTTTAGACTGCTCCATAACTTTACAGATCTATCTTCTAAAATTAAATTTAAGAGTTAGAGCTTTACCAAACGGGTCATACAAGCTTTACCAAGCCCTTAAAAATAATTCTTTTTTTCCCCAAAGTAGTACTAATACTAATAATTAGTTTTATCTCCGAACAGATAGAAGTACACAAGGCCCATGAGGACTACGGGGCCTAAGAAGCAGCGAGCCCAACAAGCAAGCAACCGCCTTTTTAGCCTTTATTCCTTGCCTCCCCACGACGCGTTTCTTCGTGAGCTGTAGTAACTAGCAACAGCAAAGCCAAAGCCCCTCTCGTCAACGACCTCGTCGCGCCCGAGGCACCCAATTCGCGCCGGCCATGGCGGTGGCGACGCTGTCGTCGAGGTCGAGGCGCGCGTGCGCGGAGGCGGCGTCCGTGCTCCTCGTCCTCCTCGTCATCGCGCCGTCGGTGGCAGCCGGGGGCGACACCAACGGCGTGTACGAGCCGTGCGCGGACGCGGCGGTGCAGCGCGGGGACGGGTTCACCTTCGGCGTGGCCTTCGCGGCGCGCGGCGACTTCTTCTCCGGCGGCGTGCAGCTCTCCCCCTGCGACGGAAGGCTGTCGCTGGCGTCCAAGGGCGCCAAGCTCGCGGTGTTCCGCCCCGAGGTCGACGAGATTTCGCTCCTCACCGTCAACACCTCCGCCGCCGGTGGCTTCGACCCGGTAACTAAGGCCCTGGTCGACTTTTCACCTCTAGAAGCTTCGTGTTTTCATGCTTAATGTCGATTTTTATGTCAGATGGTGTATACACACGAGGAACCCTAACTGACTGCACGGTTGCGTATATCAGGAACCCGAAGTTTGGCATAAACGCATAAAGAACTAGTCCTCTAGTTTCTTCTTTTTTATCTAATTTTATATAGACACAATTCCTTTTCAATAAAGAATTTATGCTGTCAGTTTCGTCATGCAATAGGTTTTAGTTAGAATCAAACACCCTAATTGCCTAGTGAGAAACAGAGAAACGAAGAACTTGCCGGTGAATTGTCAATTTGTCATGAACATTGGCAATCACGACCTGCTTGGGGAGGATGAAGACAAAAGTTGGGGGGAGCTGGATTATGTGTCCCATATGGATTGATACAGCACCATTTTTTGGACTCTTTGTAGGAGCTCTAGTAACACAGATGGAAATGGTCCCATGAACATGCTTCTCTGTTTTTCTGTGGGCCAAGTGTCGGTTTATCTGCTTTGATGATGAAATTATTCAATGGGTTGTGCTCTATGGTTTGGAAATTTTTATTCTAATTGATTGAACATAGAGAAGCTACAGTACTACCGATTGTTTAATTACCAACATGTGTTAAAATGGTTTAGCTGTGCTTGACATTTTAGATAAGGGCTAATCATCACGATGGAGGCCATCATTTTCTGTTTTCTACCTGATTTGTTGATCGCAGTTTTGTTCATATTACACTACGAAAGTTACTCCTATTGATTGGCCATAGCATGTCAAATTCTCAATTGCAAGAATAAGCAGTGCTATTGCGTAAGAATGGTTTTTGTTGTACTGTTAGAAGATTACTGTGGTAACCTGCGGTTAATGGCAAACTGTTGCGCACATTTTTCACTGTTTCGGCCAGCAAACCACACACCATCTTTTGAAGCATTTAGCATTGTTGTAGTGGTACTTTCTTACCCATAAGTGATTGGTCTTCATATGATTGTCCTTTTTTTTAACTGTTTTTAGCTCAATATAATGAAGCCACTTGTGTTTCTAATTGGCCACTATTTTGCTATGTGCCAGGCAACTTCTGGTGGCTACATGGTAGCTTTTGCTGGGAGGAAATATGCAGCAAGATCACCTCCGGTTTTCGTCAGTAACAGCTCATACACCGTGACCAGCTTTACCCTGGTGCGATCCATAACCCGCACCCTGCATTCTGAACATTCTATCTTCACCTATTTCTCCAACTGATCATTCGACCAACTGAATTCTGTTTCTTAGGTGTTTGAGTTCAACAAAGGCACACTTCAGAACCTGTACTGGAAAGCCAACGGCTGCTCTGCTTGCTCCGGGCAACCCTCCTTCACCTGCGTCGATCAGAACTGCGCGATCAGCACGGCGAACTGCACGGGCAAGGGCGGCAGCGTGGATTGCAGCCCCGGGATTCAGCTCGCCTTCTCCGGCACTGACAAGCACGAAGCCGTCCTCAACTCGTGGTATGAGGTGTCCAAGCTCCGGCAGTACTCCCTGGTTGGGCTCTTCTCCAACCTCAAGGACTCACTCACCAGCCAGTTCAGCATCTTCTTCTAGCTCCAGCATGTTCTTCTAGCTTTTTCGAGCTCGCATTTCTCTTCGGCCATCTTGGTGTATATGTCAGTTTCGTGTTAAGGTAATAATGTTATCTATTTATATATAGTCCAGTGGTTGCTGTTTGTAAAGAAAAAAAAGACGACAAATTTTGTAAATCAGCTCTCTGTGTATGTACCTGGTTTTATATGAGACGATATATCAGTTAGGGCGTGTTCTAACGGAATGATTGGACTTCTTAGCTACAATTACTTGTAAGGATGAACTAAATATTTTATAGTACTCCCTTCGTTTTTTAATAGATGACACCGTTAACTTTTGGCATGTTATTTAACCGTTTGTTTTATTAAAAAGAATTATATAAATGTCATTTATTTTGTTGTGATTTGTTTTATTATGAAAGAACTTTAAGTATGTTTTATACTTTAACATGTTTATACTATTTATTTTGAATAAGACGAATTGTTAAACGTTATTCTAAAAGGCATCAACATTATCTCTTATAAATTTGTGCGTTCGCGAAAAAATTATCTCTTATATAAAACGGAGTTAGTATAATGCTAAAAAAATAGCTAGAACAAGTTGTATAAGCAATGCTGATGCAGAATTTTCTCTGAGAAAATCGTTTGAGCATAACACAAATAATCCATATCTTTCATAAGTTCTTTTAGAACACGCCTTAAATTTTCGCCTATGACTTTACTGCTTTTCTGGAGAATGAATTGCATCGCACATAGTCGAATGCTCGAATAAAAGGATAAAATGCAGTTTCAAATGCAATGATATTTAGAAGAATCAGATATGTATAATAATCAAGACGATCAACTAATCATACAGAAGTAATTACAATCACGAAAGAAAAAACCCGACAAAAAAATAGAAATCTCTCACTATGAAGTATGAACTCAACATGGACTATCATACGACCATCATGCCGTTGGCGGCGGCGGCGACGGCGTCGCCGGCGCCGGCGAGCTGCTGCTGCTCTTGTTGTTGTTGACGAACTTGAGCACGATGGGGAGGACGACGACGAGGATGAGGACGAGCAGGATGATGATGGCGATGCAGGTCCACTTGCGGGTGCTCTTCTGATGCTTCCGCGCCACCACCAGCTGCTCGCGGCCGCGGTCGACGAAGGAGCGCGCGCGGCCGACATGGGTCTCGATGTCGTCGAGCTGCTCCCCCTGCGCCGCCACCAGCACGGCCATGTCGTTGAACACCTGGTGGAGCTCGAGCAGCGAGCGTTCCAGCTCCGCCACGGCGCCGTGCCGCTCCTGGATCTCGGCGACCACGCCGAGCACCTCGCCGCGGCCCTGCTCGGCGATCGCGCGCTGCAGGAACCGCTCCCCTTCCCCGGTCTCGGCGAGGTTGTCGAGCGTCGCCTCGTCGGGCTGCTCGCCGGTGACGGTGTAGTACCGCCGCGCCACGGTCTCCCGGTACTCGGAGGAGATGCGGGCGCGGAGGGAGGAGAAGGATTCCATGGAGTCGCGGAGCTTCTTGCGGAGGCCGGCGACGACGGAGGTGCGGGTGCGGTCGGTGGAGGAGCCCGGGCCGCACCCGGGGACGGAGCGGTTGGCGGCGTTGGCGCGGTCGAGCGACTCGAGGCGGAGCTTCACCACCTTGGCCTTCTTGATGGCGGCGGCGACGTCGGCGTCCATGCGCGCCCGCAGCGCGCGCACCGCCGCCGCGTCGTGCAGCGACTTGCCCCCCTCGTTGGCGTCGTGGAGCGACCGCTGGATCCGCTCCAGGTCGCGGAGCTCGTCCTTGATCGACTCCACGTCCTCGAAGAACCTATCAAGGCTCGCCCCCGCCGCCGCCCCCGGCGGCGGCGCCATCTCCACGCCGCCGCCCGATTCAATATCCCCGTCGCCGCCGCCGCCGCCGCCGGTGCGCTTCCACGAGCTAGAGAAGAGATTGTTCATGGCTGCAGCAACTCACTAGAACACAAGATCGGCCACGATTTGCTCCGGTTTCTTGGATCGGGAGGAGGGAGGAGTTAAGAGGGGGGAGGAGGAGGAGACGCGGAGTTGAAGGGGTCGGAGGGGTCTCGTCTCGTTCACGCGAGGATGGAGTTGAAATGGCGACGTGAGGTGGCGCGGGGGGGAGGGATTGGGAAGGTGGGAGGAAGGAGGGAGATGAGATGGCCGCGGCGCGGGCGGGTGGCGTCGCGACTCGCGAGCGCCGCCCAGTCCAGGCCTCCCTCGTGTGCACTGCCCGCGCGGCGCTTGATCACGCGGTGGCGTGTGGTGGCGCGCCGGGGGCGTCCAGATTGTGCTTTGTTTCAAACCTAACCACGCAACCTCAGAGGGGCCGGTGCATTTAACTTTTTTTTACCACTTTAAAGATGCGATAATTAAGAATTTACGTCTCACGATTTTTTATATGGATCCGGTGACAAACCCTTAATTAACCATTTATAAGACTGACAAATAGTTAAATATCTTTCTATGAAACGGAGCACGGATTTCATTTTATTTTGTGAAAAAAAATAGGTCATGTTTTGCACAACTCCAGATCCACGACATATTTGAACTTTGTACGTTACATTAAATCATAATGGTTTAAATTTTAAAATTAATTTAAAATAGAAATAAAATGATATATCTAAATATTAGCAATGTAATGGTTGATTTATTAGATCATAAATTTGTAAAACTAGAAATTACCGGTTCCGAAAAATCTTGGAACCCGAACCGTATAAAAAGGGCCTTATGAAAGCTTATCAGGTAACTGTAAACTTCAAATCATGCCAATAAATTTGTCAAGAGTAAAAAAAAAAAAGCTACTGGTAGTATTATAAAACTGCTACTGGAGTTTGTAAGACTGGAGAATGGAGATGCATGGCATCAGGATCAGCCATAAGCCGTAGGCGATCATTCAGCTGGTCGTTTTTGACCGGATCAACCAGAGCGAGCAAGGGCACCTGTGCATGCAAGTGTGCAGCTTGACTTGACCACGACAATATAAAAAGGACAGAGAACAAAAGACCGAAAATAAAACCAAGTATGGGTGTGTTTAGTTCACGCTAAAATTAGAAGTTTGGTTGAAATTGAAACGATGTGATGGAAAAGTTGAAAGTTTATGTGTGCAGAAAAGTTTTGATGTGATGAAAAAGTTAAAAGTTTGAAGAAAAAGTTTGGAAGTAAACTCGGCCTATATACATAATAATTCCATCAGTTGCAGAGTTCGGTCCCTTTGATTCAAAGGAAATTCATAGGAATTTTCTTTTAGAGGATTTCATTCCTATAGGAATTTTTCCTACAAAGCCCTTTGAATCAAAGGAATGAACCCTATGAAATCCTATAAAATTCCTATGGAATGCCTCTTCCCATATAAGTTTTGGAGGAATTTTAACAAGAGGTAGAACCTTATGGAAAAAATCCTTCGAGTCTTTATCTCTCCTCAAATTCCTGTGTTTTTCCTGTGGTCCAATTAAACGGTCATTTCTATGTTTTTCTTGTGTTTTGCAATCCTCTGTTTTACACTTACATTACATTTCTGTTAGAATCCTATATTTTTTTTATTTACACTTACATTACATTTCTATTAGAATCCTATATTTTTTTATTCCTTCATTTTTTTATTCCCGTGATTTAAAGGGGCCCTTCGTTTATACAACTTGCTGGGTTGGTAGTTGGTACTGGTCGTCATCCACCGTTGGATGTCTCAGTTATCACATGCCAAACTGCCAATCATGGATGAACCCTCGCAATTCTGCTTGCTATGCTATGTTACCACGCTACAAACCAAACCGGGTCAGGCCAACCCAAGGCGGCAACGCTGACCGTCTCAATCGATCACAAGGACGTGAACGTGACGCCTTTTGATTGATTGCCCCACCTCACATGTACTATAATACTCCTTTTATTTTTCCATTTCAATATAAGAATTATGAATATAAACGACATGTTCAGATTTATAATACTAAGATATAATAAATTTAAAAGCTGTTACATATTATAACAGAGAAAGTAACACATTTGGATGTCGACGGCGTTGACGTCTTATTTGTTTCGTACTACTAACTTCTTTTAATTTTTTATAAGGCGTTGCTTTCTTCAGCAGAGGGAGTACTAATGACACTATTATTATTGCTAGTACTACTCACTCTGGGATTACCATAGTGATGCGTTGATGTGCTCTCTCCGTTGACCTCTCCTTGTTTTGCTTTACGAGCTTTGCATGCTGTTGAGGATTCTAGCAACTGACGCACATGTGCATGCGCAAATTTCACTTAAAGCACCCGCAATGGTTATCTATAGACTCTCTATAAGAGATCCACGTCAGTATATTTTTCTATTTGCAAGATATTAAATGAAGAGATAGAGCAAAACTATCTACTAAACTAGAGATAGTCTATAGAGAAAAACGAGACAATACATGAGAGAGCTATAGATACCCATGTAGACATACTATTGAGGTGGTTTACTATTAATCTAGTCTATTGCTGAGATGTACATGTTTTATAGAGAGCACCTTACTTTACCATTGCGGGTGCTCTTATCCAACCCTCATAGATTGTACAGAGTTGCAAGGAACACTTCAGGGGGCAGCACTGAATTGCACAGACACAACAATATATAGAAAATTGACGGATAATATGATTTTTGCGATATAAACGAATGAAAATTAACTACTACTACAGAGTTGAAATTTTGTTTTAGAAAAGTATTTCAAGAAAATTTTATATAGAATTTCTTTTGGCATCAAATACTCCGTTTAGTAGGGAAACATGCAAACAAAAATCTAAAATCTAAATAATACTCCCTCCGTTTCAAAATGTTTAACACCGTTGACTTTTTAACACATGTTTGACCATTCGTCTTATTCAAAAAAAATTTCTGAAATATGTAAAACTATATGTGTACATGAAAGTATATTTAACAATGAATCAAATGATATGAAAAAAAATAAATAATTACTTAAATTTTTTGAATAAGACGAACGGTCAAATATGTGTTAAAAAATCAACGGTGTTAAATATTTTGAAACGGAGGGAGTAATAATAAAAACAACATGGCCGATGTAAATGCACGGAGTCTTACCTGTTCAAGCAGAGGTGAAGCATAATGGAGGTACGGGTGGATTTTGCATTCATGGCTATGTTTAGATTTAAACTTTTTTCTTCAAACTTTCAACTTTTCCGTCACATCAAATGTTTAGATACATGCATGAAATATTAAATATGGACGAAAAAAAATCAATTGCACAGTTTGCATGTAAATCACGAGACGAATTTTTTGAGCCTAATTATGCCATGATTTAACAATGTGGTGCTACAGTAAACATTTGCTAATGACAGATTAATTAGGCTTAACAGATTCATCTCACAGTTAACATACGGAATCTATAATTTATTTTATTATTAGTATACAGTTTAATACTTTAAATATGTGTCTATATACTTACAAAAAATTTTGGCACACGAAAACACAGCACAAGACAAAAAATCTCTGCATTTGGTAGGACTTCCACTGCATCAGCTGAACACGAGGATACATTTTGTTGGTACAAGTACTTGGCTGCAAAAAAGCTGGACTTCTAGAGGCAAGGCTACAAGAGGCTGTCGATTCATAAATACACAAATAAAACAAGATGCTATTTTGTCAAAGGTACAGTCACGATTAGCTGAACTACTTCTGGAACGTGCAAGAGTCACGAACTTGCATTTTCCGGTTTCAGCTTGGAGACTGTTAGTAGATGAAAGTATCAAACAAGACAACCGCAAATCATTTTCTATTATATAGAATCTTATAAAAACATCACAAGATAATCCGGCAAACAAACTAAGCCAATGGAAATAAAATAACTTCGTATGATCTGGGATTCAAAGCAACACTATATGATGAACATCACAATTAGCCAGGCAAAACTGCCGCCCTTGGAGCGTCTCAAGTATCTAATTTCCTCAAAAGTACAATATGACTGAAAACTATGGACAGATACTGCATCTGCGAGTTGTCTCAAAGTTGACAAGGATTTACAAGAACAATGTAAGAACCTATAGGCTACAGCAACAATCGGCAAACCAAAGCTTTTGTTGTCTGCATCCTTCCTAGCACCAAAATTTCACCGACAATGGTATACATCTAATCGCCAGAATTACCCTTGAAAAGAACTTGTATAACTGTGCTAGTATTGAAACTGGAATCCATGTATATTCATTCTATACTCAACCGTGAACTTACAGGTACACATCTTCACCAGTCACCACTCCACTGGTTTGGGTTGGTCAGATTGTATATCTTTACCCAGCATCCAAGGAACGAGTTTCTTCATGAGAAGGTTGTCTCACTGTCTCACACCATCCTTCCTTGCAGTTCATCAAGCATCCTGAAGAACAGTGACATAAAAAGGATGCCCTTGGCCACCACCGGATCTTTGATTTTCATCCACCTGTCCTACCTCGGATGAATGCACTTTCCATTGTAGCTGATAATTCGAAAGATTGTATGTTCCAGGCATAAATATGCACACTTTTAGAGGAACTTTAGTGGAAGTGTCAGGTTTCAGGTCAACTTGAGCAGAACTCAATGAACACCAAACAAAAGGTGAAATGCTCTCTGATGGCTGTTTCTGATAATGTGTCCCCTTGGCAGTAGAGATAGCTTTAATGTCATTTTCCAGCGATACATCATACCATCCACCCTGATTACTATTAGAATCTTGCAAATTGACAGTTTGGCTTTTATCTGGCACGCTGTCATAGGTAACTACTCTCGCTGAAATATTATGTTGCACAGTATTATGAATTACCAACTGGATGTTTGCTTCACAGTAAGACTTTGAGAAATCATGAGTAACTGTTCTAGGCCCTTCCATAAACCACCATATAGGACTCTGGTCGATAGCACTGAGAAACAGCAGATGGTATCAGCACATTAAAGTCCAGAGCCCAACAGAATTTGTCGTAACAAAGGTTCTACAATCTAGCACTTACCTGCAATGGCACACATGATGAGAGAGTAGTTGAACGTCTGGATCTGACTTGGAATAGTTACCACCTACTGCTTTCGAGATCAGAATAAAATCAAGAAGGTCCCGTGGTCCCTGGACAGTGATGGCACCAATATATATGTCATCATTTGACTAAGTGATGGTAAACTGTATGAAAACAAAAACATATGCATCCAATTTCTCATCATTTTTCGAGCCAAATTTTGTTGATTCCAACTTGAAGATTAGGGTAACAAATCCTTGACAGCTGGAAAAAGTACCACCAAGTGGGTGCAAATGCCTTTATAGTCT